ATATTTTTTATCAATTTAATTTTTTTAAATTATTAATAATAACGTGTGCATAGACATTTTTCAGGGGTGGACTGGCCACCTGTATAATTTCCCCGCAGCGAGGTTCCACCCGTTGACAATCCACTAGCGCAGTGTTTCTCAAACTGTTTCATACCAAGGACACTTAACCAATAAAAAAACACTCACGGACCACCTGACTCCACAAATATCCAAAAACAATAGGCCTGCTTACCATTCCAACAGTTTATAACAGCCTGATAATGACAGCTTAACCTTCTCTATATCGCCTCGTTCACACAATAAATCAACAATACAAATGCAACTACAGATCATAAGCATTTTGTTCAAATGCGATTTAAAATGCTCTCAGGTTTTACACCTCTTATGAAATGTAGACTACATTTATTACGGAGTTTATGTCCGAGACAACAGACTACTGAGAGATATGCAAAACACACCGCATGTAGTACGACACAAACCTCCGCTGTTTTCAAAACAAAATACAGTAAAACTATGGTTGCAGGCCCAAGTTTAACTCTCTGAGGTCTGCATGGTCTGCCTACAAAACAAAAATAAAAAAAGGTTTATGCAGCCCCAACAGCAGCCTGATCATCAACAGACTTCATGCAATGCTTCATTGGATGCATATATTAGATAATAATCTCTATCTCACTCCTAAAACATCTAAATCCACTTCCAGCATGGATAAATGTTCATGAAATACATCCATTGTTTGTTTTATACGCTTCTTGAAATCCTAAAGGCCCCTACACACCAGGCCGATATCGGCCGTCTTGCGTTGTTGGGCGAAAACGGGTTCCTTGTCGCCCAAAGTCAATTTGGTGTGTCCCGAACCCTCGGCCGTGACACGCCTTATTTGGCCTTTCACGGTCGACACATGTTGAATCGGCCGGGTGTCGGACACAAGCTATCGGGCCAAGAAACCACTCTGATCAGCTGTTCAGCTAGCAAATGAGAAGCGAAACGGAAGTGAGGGACGTAAACAAACGATTTAAGGCACAGGACAGCAGCTAAACACCAGCAGGTGATACTTAAAGACATCAAAAATAGCCCTTAAATGTCCTCTCTTACCTCCCACACATAGCAGGGACATCTCTGATATCGGCGGGAGCGTCCCCGGCTGTCCTCTGCTGAGAGCTCCGTGATTTGTTTGGTCAAGTCCGGTTTTTCATCTCATCGTAAATTTAGCAAGAAGTGGCCATTATTACATTGCTGACTCAATAAACTACACACCCGCCAGAACACTGCGATCATCAGATGCAGGTCTATTAACTGTGATTTTATAGTATGTCTGCACTTTATGTGCTCATTTCATCATTCATGTATTTTTATATTCTAAAACATGTTTTCGATGGACGAGAGTGAAAATGGAACGCACACGCTATTTGTTTGTTTATATCAGTCTGTTCTTCTCTGTCTTCCGGTTGTTGCCTATTTTGAATGACGAATACACACTACCGCCGCCTGCTGGTAAGGAGAGTTATTGCCACTCACGCATGCGCAGTTCGTACGTTCTCGGCTGAAGTCTTTGCGGTGATTTCCAGTGCGACACATGGCCAAGACGCAGGAGAACTCGTCGATTGAACTGTCGGTGTCGGGTGTCGGCGAGTTCTCTGGTGACTGCCTGGTGTGTCAGGGCCTTAAAAAACACATCGTTTTTCTAGAACAGATTACAAATCGCCTGAAAATGGTAAAATGTTGCGCTGGGCTATATCATGCAATTGAAAGTGAAACTTAAGCTCGCGAGAGTGCGGAAAACTTAAATTAATTCACTAGCACCCCGTCCCCCCCCCCCAGTCTCTGGCACCGTTATTTTGGGGGCTGAAAAGTTTGGGAACCCCTGCCCTAGATCAGTCTCTAGTAATTGGGCGCTCAAAGTGCACCAGATTGAAGCATTTTACTTTAAAATGTTAAAATAAATCTTCCCGGGGGGGGCACCCCCGGAACCCCCTGGAGGATGTGAGGTCCACCCCCCAATTAAAACATGTTCATGCAATACTAAATACATTTTTATATAAGCTGTCCACCATGTCAATACGTTTCTCTTTTTGTAGTGTATTGGTCTTTTGTAGAGGTTTTTCATTGCCAGCAAATTGGTCAGAACCAGCCCTGGTGTCATCCCCACAACATGTTGATGTCTTTAATACATAAATATGTGTCCCCGGTGTGTCAGGGAACTCACGCAGCGTCAGAAAATTAAACCCTCTCTCTTTTCCTCCGTACCCAAATCTCTAAAAACGGGGGTACAACGGAACTGATCCAGATTTGCGTCCGATATGACGTAATATCGGCGATGCAGATCCACGGCACAATCAGAAAGTTGCAGAAAAGTAGAAACAATGCCCGACTGTTTTGGACGTAATATGGTCTTTGTTTACATTAGCAAGCATCGCTAACATTCAGAGCTAACCTGTGCTGTAGAGAGCATGTGTGAAGAAGCAGGAAATAAAAAGGAACTCACCTTGTGGTAAACCGGCAAGAGAGAAAGCCTTTGAGCTCCATACTGTTTCAGAAATAATCCTTGATGTGGTTTGGACATTTCATCACGGCAGTATCTGCCGGTCGAAAAAAAGAATTAAAAGATTTTTTTTTTTATTCTTTTTTTTTTGTAAAGCTTTATACCCAGAATAAGCACTTTAGTAACAGGAAGTGAAATAGAGGGATATGAGGCATGGCTAGAATGGGTGATCTGTTTGGTATTTTGAGCAAAACACTTCATAGACATGCTTTTTTATATATCTGAGACTTATGCTATTGCCTAAAAATAGCATGATCGGTGACCTTTAATATGATCAAAAAAGTTTTGAAGAGAGTCTGTGGTTGCACAGGTTTCTGATGAGTATAATAGTGAGTAGTAAGACTAAAAAATATTGTTAATTTGTTTGGGGTTTGTAGTTTTATCTCCATTTGTATCTGTGATCTCATCAATTGCTCTCAGTTTTTATTATTTTATTAAGTTTTCCTGCCTTTCTTCCTGATCATAATAGGCTAGCCTCAGTCTGATTATTCCTGCAGAGGCTTTATCAGTGGATAGTGTATTGTATTTTGCTTTTAAAATCGACAGTTTTCTTTTTTTCTCCCTGGAAGTATTTGCGCTTATTTCAAGCTCCAGCATCTGTGAGTATTGTTTAATCAGTGTATTCCTAGTGTATCCCATCATTCAACCTTGAATATAGGCTTCTACAGTATATAGAAATAGTCGTCTATATTTGAACCAACATATTCCAGAACAATTTGGCTTTAGATGCTAGGTAGTCTGCCCTCTGAAATTAACAGTAACAGAGTACTTGAGCAAAATGAATGCGTGATCAGATATAAGGATGCTTTTATAAGTACAGTCAGTAACTCTGTAAACAATTTGTTAGGAAAATATCACTCGACACCGGGTTGAGAATCAATAATCCGGTACTAATTTATTCTTGCAAGAAGGAGCAGAGTTAAGTCACATACAAAGGATATGGTTTAACTCACACACATGGGGTATGTTGCTCAACGGAGCAGGAAAAAACATCAGGCTTATATAGTCCAAAATACGGAGATAACAACAAAGTCGTAAATCGAGGTGGCGCTAATATCATCAGCAGGTGTCGGAAAGGTGACGGGGACATCTGCGACGTCTTCTGGAAAGAGTCACGTACTTCCTTCACTGTTGCTCTTTGCCCCATGAGGTATTTAGGAGACAATAAGTATGTGTCCTCTCATAAATATCAACAACCTGAAATGCCCTGCCTCCTCCTATCATTAGAAGAGGCAGCTGCAAGGTCATACACAGTGCAGAGTCACACATAGTATCAGTGCATTAAAACAACCCATAAAAAGGAGACAACTTGTATTTTCTCCAACACAATTGTAATGGAAATAGTCTATACGACTGTAGGTATTGTGGCTAGCAGAGTGACATGAATATTCTCTCTTTGTAGGGTTTCCTAATATCTTTTCAATTTAATTCAAGCGTAAATTGTTTTATAATCTTTCTGCTCCTTGAATGAAAGGCATCCGAGCCCGAAGATCGGTCAAGTTTTGGATTTAGGGCGCAATGAAAATCACCCCCTATTATTATGTCACCATGCAGAGCAGAGATCGAAAGGAAAACATTATTATAGAAATGTGGGTCTTCATTCTTGGGCCCATATAGATAGCCCCACTCCAATTTATCATTGTAACTCAATCTTGAAAATGACTGTTAATAATTTTGCAACGATGTCATCACTATCACTGACGTGAGCCATCATGAACAAACTTATGCTAATTAGCTACTTCCCCCTAGCTTGACCCATTGTTATTATAATACATGCATAAACTTGACAGCGGGCGGAACTTGTCATAAAGTCCGCGATAATAAAGCCCACCCATTTAGAGGGAAGATATGATTGGTCAATTTTCATGTCATTTTCCATTACTCTCTCGTTGAGTTACTATAGCGGGCCCTCTGGTGGTCCAGCTATAAATTCACAATCACCTCCTATCTTCACAGTAACTCGCAGAGACGGCCAAAGGAGCTTCTTTCATTTAACCCTCCACATTCCAACAGAAACTGAATAGGAAGATTCGAAGGATTTATGTCTTTGGAAATGTTATTTTAAATACAATTAAATCAAGTTATTTTGGTAAAGCTAATGAAAAATACAACAAAACCATTTTTTAAATGTTTTTTCTTTAATAATTTTTTTTTTTTTTTAAATTCTTTAAAAGAATATTTTTTTGAATATCTTAGGACCTCAGAGTGGGCCTAGAGGGCCCTGACGGCTCGCCACTGCTTATTTTAAATGAGTAGGTCCTTTTTAATATGTAGAATGCACTAATGGCTGAATCCAGAGTTATTTTCCCACCTCCCTTCATGTGGCGACACATGGTACTGGGAGGTGGGGTTTTAGATAAAAGCTGCATAATCCAGTGATTTTTGTACTGAAAAGTGGAGATGAATATCTAAATAAAAAATGACAGGTAACATGACTCTTTGCTTGTCTAAATGTTTATAGGGTTTAACAAGGCTATCTTTCCAGCCGTACAGCTTTAAACAGCTTCAGCAGATCATCACGTCCCGGCTGAACAAGGTGAAGGCCTTTGAGGAGGACGCACTACAGCTTGTGTCCAGGAAGGTACACAATCTTTCTCACCGTCTCACCTGACCTGAGCTCATTCACAGGTACGTTCACTAAAATTCTCCTCTCCCCTTGCAGGTGGCTGCTCTGTCGGGCGATGCTCGCCGATGTTTGGACATCTGCCGCAGGGCGACAGAGATTTGCGAACACTCTGCTGCAGACACTTCTTCCACAGGATTGGTGGGAATGAGTCATGTGATGGATGCGCTGAATGAGATGTTTTCCTCTGCTTACATCACCGCCATCAAGTGAGATTCTCCCTTCAGTCACATTTATGACTTGTTGTGAATTGTAGAGGAGCGATGAGATAAAGGGACTATTGTGTGTCTTTAGGTGTGTGTCGGTGCAGGAGCAGCTCTTCCTCAGAGCCATCATTGCAGAGTTTCGGCGGCTGGGATTGGAGGAGGCCACTTTCCAACAGGTAAAAATCTAACAAATGGGTAAGAGTTCAAAACAACAACCTTTACATCCTACACTGAGTCTGAGATTTAGAAAATAAGCAGTGAAAGCCTCCATATAGCCTCTATATCAGCATGTTTCTTTGTTATTACAATTTAAAGTTTGACATTTTGAAACTGTAAAATGCTGAATTGATGTTGTTACACTCCCATTTTTGTACTAATTTGAAGAAACATTTAACCCTTGTATGGTGTTCATATTGTTGTCTGGTGGACCCGCTGCCTTTTTGGGCTTCAATTCAACACAATTCAACACAATCAAACTATTTGATGTTAAAATACTCAACAGATGTTTACTTCATCTCAATTACAAGCAATATAAACAGCATATATGGTTAATATTTGCCCTTTTACATTTGTTAGATCACATTAATGAATTAAAGTGCTGCTTGTCTTTTTGCCCACTGACCGGCTGGTCCTGTGGCTCGTCTTTATTTTGTAACTAGCTGATGCTCAATCTCATCCTCTTCAAAGTCACTGTCAGACTCAGAATTCAGTGGGTGGTCATTGAAAATGTGTTCTGATATATGTTCTTCACAGAAAATGAGCCAAGGCCAAAAAATAATTTATCATATCATTTTTCTTTAGCTAAAAAATGAAAACGGGTCCCGCATACCATACAAGGGTTACATTAATTCAGAGGTGCTAGTAGGTGGATATATATTTTTGATTTTGGACTGGTGGTCAATTGCCGATGACCACCAGCCTGTGACCTCACAAAACACTTTTTTGGCCCCAACTTCAATATTTACAACAGTGTTCAATAGATAAGTATTACATAAATTATGTATTAATTTTGGACAGATTGGATTTAAACATTACAATTTTCTTTAACCAAAAATGCCACAAAAGTCTGATAGAATACAGCGCCAGTCACAATCTGTTGATTTTATAAAAATGAAAGTTAATGGTGTTCTTGGACTTTACTCTCCATATTGAGAGACACATTAGCCCCACTTTAGAGGCCATGACTTTTTAACCTTTTTGAGTTATTCACGGAATATAAACGAGGTAAATAAACCCAGGAAAATGTTCTAAGGGCCCATGTCCACATTACATCAGCAATCATCAGCTCTAAAGTGAGGCTCCACTACACTAAAAAAGAAAAAGACAAGGTACAGTGTAATGCCTGTTAATAGCTTGCCACAGGCATAGCGCAGTTCAAATAAAGCACAGCTATTGTGCAATACATTTGTATTGCATGTATATTTTTTATTTGTAAAAATGTCAGTTAAAGCTTAAAAGAATAAAGATATTTTTGTTATCTAAACGTTTGACCTCTTTCTTTTACAATTTTGGAATCTAAACGGGGAATCGATAAGAACCGGAATCGATAAGCAGAACCGGAATCGGAATAGATACATTTCAAACGATACCCATCCCTAGGTATGAGGCATGACACAATGGGTGATCTGTTTGTTACTTTGAGCAAAACACTTAAGAGACATGTTTTGTATAGATATGGCCCTATAATATATTGTTCAAATATAGCATAATAGGTGAGCTTCAAGCTATCTTTGGATCTTGACTTGCTGTAACAAGAATGTAAATTTCCCCTCTGTGGGACGAATAAAGGTATTCTGATTCTGAACTATTTGTCGTACACTCTTATGGGAGGTATTGATGCACTCGGCAGCGATTTCCAGTTTTGAAATGATTTGCCCCACCCCATAATCTTTAGCTACACTCTTCTTAACTCTATCAATCCCTTTGTCATAGACTCTTGTGGTAGGCATCAACAGGGGCGTAGCACAAAACTCCGGGCCCTATACATAAGCTATCTCTGTAGGCCCCCTTCCTCTCTTGATCCATGTCTCTAATGCACCTTTTAAAATGTATTTACAAATGACTGAGCCAACAACTGTAAACATGAATCTGAAGCAGTTATTAGGGAAGTCATGAACTAAAGTATAAATAGTAATAATAATCTGTGCACAGTTCAACCCTCTTTCCTCAATATACTGCTGCATTCGACACGGTGAACCATCAGATCCTCCTCGCACTCTCCAAGAACTTGGAGTTTCAGGCTCTGCACTTTCCCTCCTCACCTCATACCTCAAAGACCGCACCTACAGGGTAACTTGGAGAGGGTCCGAGTCCGACCCTTGTCAATTAACTACAGGGGTCCCTCAGGGCTCTGTCCTTGGTCCACTCCTCTTCTCTCTGTACACAAACTCTCTCGGATCGGTCATTAGCCTGCATGGTTTTTCATACCATTGCTATGCTGACGACACCCAATTAATTATTTTCCCCGTTCTGAAACCCAGGTCGTCGCACGCATCTCTGCTTGTCTAGCAGACATCTCTCAGTGGATGTCTGCTCACCACCTCAAGCTCAACCTTGACAAGACTGAGCTGCTTTTTCTTTCGGGAAAAGAGTGTCCCACTCTTGACCTAACAATCAACATCGGCCCCTCTGTTGTTTCCCCGACTCAGACTGCAAGGAATCTGGGTGTGACCCTAGATAACAACCCGTCCTTCACTGCAAACATCGCTGCTACAACCCGCTGCTGCAGATACACTCTTTACACGCTCCCCATTGACATCAGGACAGCAGAAAGCTCACACATCTTCCGGCGCAGACTGAAAACTCATCTCTTTCGACTCCACTTCGAGCAATAAAATTACTAATAAAGCACTTATATACTAATAAAGGACTGGCTTATCTAAAGCTACTTGAGTAGCACTTGAAATGTTTTGGCTCTATGAAACCTGATGTACTTATATGATTCTGTTTTCTTCAAGTTTGTATCTTCTTGGTCGAATGTACTTATTGTAAGTCGCTTTGGATAAAAGCGTCAGCTAAATGCAATGTAATGTACTGTAGTTTACAATTACTTTACTATGGTTAAATGAGGTTTGCTTGGAGTATCATGCTTAAGAGAACATTCTTCATGTTTATTTAAGCATTTATCTTTCCCACCAAGACGAAACAAAAAAAACACCATCTTAGTTTTCTAACCACTACATTGAGAGAGTGCTTACTATACGGCATAACAGACAACTGAACAAGACTTCACATGTCATGTTTATTTTTAACAATAACACACAAAAAATCTGAACGCATATATGCCAAAATGCTAACAAATTAAAACTTTAGAAAGCTAAAAAATCTTTACAATTTATTCTTTGATATGATTGATCTTGGCGTTATTGAAAAAATATGAAGAATGTCTAACTTCAAACTCTAATGTATCTTATGGAACTGATGGTATTGGACTTCATTCCCCAGTAAATGACACTGACGGGTCTTCTTCAAAATCATTACTTCTTCTTTGAATTATCTATGTTTAGAGCAAGCCAATCAGGAAGTTCGCCAGGCGCTGAAGCAAATTCTCATTGAATTACATTGGGAAAGAGATGTCCGTAAATCTTGTGTGTTTTTTTAGGTAAATCAACTTTCCAGTATGAACACTTGAATAGCCCTTATTTCATTAAATCCTAAAAGTTTTAAAATGCGCTAAAAGCCGTAAACAGAGAGTTATTTTCCCTCCTGCATTCATTTGACAGAGCAGAGAGCGGCTGAGACGCGGGGCTTAAGGACAACTAGTGCGGGGATGACTAAACCATTTTCCTCCTTTTGTGAGGGGTGAGAGGGGCCTTCACCATTTGTTTTTGGATACAGAATTCAGTCACTCATGACACTATCTAATAAAAAAAAAAGTGCAAACAAAAATAAAGTTTTAATTCTATGCCTTTCAAGAGCCCTCCCCCCATCTGGGCCCTGGGTAGTCAGTCCCACTTGTCCCCCCACCAAGATGCCCCTGGGCGTCATTGCACTCGGCAGTCATTTACGGTTTATTGGTATCACTATGCCCCGTCCTCATACTTAAGCCCCTCCCATAACTCATGAACCATATCATAGCACTCAGCAGAAAGGTTCTGTTTAATTTAATTTCAATTAAAGATGAATAAGTAAAATCCCATTTAAAATCTGTTCTAAAAACGTTTTTCCTCCCTCCAGTCTCAAATGTAATAGTCAACAAATGGATCCTAAAGCAAAGAGTAAATATCTGCCCCTCTGTTTTTATGTTTTGAAGGTGTTTGTGCAGCACCAGGCCCTTTGTCGGGTAGAGGGTCTGCAGCCTGTCAGCGTGTCCGAAGGTCTCGCTGTATGTCAGCGTCTGGGGGCATGCAGGTTACTGCTGTTGGAGCCTAGCCGCCTGGGGGTTCTGCAGCGAGTCCGCCTCAACGTAAGCCAAGACGACGTGCTCTACGCCCTCAAGTCCGACTAAAAGAGATTACCTCACACCCATTTATCTGAACTACATTACATAAATAAGTTATACACACTAAAATAATTGCATCCAGTTTCTAACCCTAAAGAGTTTTTCGCAGTTGTCTTTATTTTTAATGTGTGATTTTCCCCAGTTTAATATTAGATTTTTCTCATTCTGAAATTATTTTTAAAATTGTACTGTGCATCTTTTTTATGTCTCAATACCTGAATATGCAATAAAATCTCATTTTTTATTATAAGCAACTTTATTATTTTCTTTTTGGAATGCTATTAATCAGTGGCGGGCCGTCAGGACCAGCAAGGCCTTCTCTGCTGGCCTAAACACTATCAGAATCCCTGACTAGTTTTTACATTAACATGTATTAAATGATTTATTAAACTGTATTCTCTTCATTTTATAGCTTTTCTCTGTGTTGCGCTGCGTCCTGTAATAATTGTTAATGTTGTCGCTTTTATCCAATCTTATTTCAGTCAGAATGTGTTGCTGGGTCAAAGAAATCTGCTTGAGGCCTTCAAAATCAACAGTGGCCTTAGTCAATGCAACCAATGAAACGGTTGCATTGACCAATCAGATTTCGAGTTGGCGTCACCGGGCCATCTAGCCATCTCTACGATGACGTCAGCATTTTCACGTCCTTTGATTGAATTGTCGGCGCTAGCAAACACTAGCGTTTGTAGCGACCTGCTAGCACACCGCATCTGTAGCGTCCTTAGCAACTTGCATAAGTTAAAATATTTGCGTTTAGATTTCAAAGCTGTTTTTTCAGCCCACAATGGCTGAACAGACTGGACTTTCAGCATTAGCCTCCATGGCGATAGAACAGGACTTATTATTGGGACTGAAAACTCAGATCATCTGTACAATAGAGTAACTGAAATCTTCTTGAGGAAAGAAAGGAGGATGGATGTTGTGTACAAATAATCAACATATTGGCTTTTATTTCCTTTTTTTGATATTTTCTTGTAATTTTATTAAGTAAATATTGATGCTTCTGCTAGAGATGATGTATGTGGCTGCAGTGAAAGGAGACCTTTTGATTTGGGTGTCCTGCTTTAGTAATGGCATTCACTTTGCTACATTAGATGCATGTCTGTGATAAAACGCCCTGTTATACTGCGTTTCTGTATAATATTAATGGTTTCTATAGCAGTCACGTCATAATGATAGTATTAAGAGGTACATTTATTCAGATAGGACACTACTGAAGGTGTGAAATGCACGGCCCGCTATAGGTAGAAAAACAGCTGAGTGTGACGACATCAGTCTGCCTGTGGGTTTAAGTAAGAGAGTGATGGGTTCCCATGGTTACCTTTGGACGAAACAGAGAAAGAGCGGGTAAAATATGACTCATCCATCAGACCAAGCAGCTGCTCTTTTGGCAGATTTTTTTAAATGTCCTTTGTTACTGTTGAATTCTTCCAGAAGCCAAAAATGTTCTGCTGGCGAAATAGCTCAGTCAGCCACGTTGTTCAAATATTTTACCAATAGAGTCAAATACTTGCAGTTTCACTGCATGTTTTTAATTTATGTGAACATACTTTCACATTATTTGACATACAGCTTACAAAACTAAAAGATAACTTGATTAAGGACATTGTGTATTGTTAAAAAATAAATAATAAAGAAATGCAAGTATCTACTATTACCTTATTCACACCAACGCAGCTCCGGTTCAAGCTCCGTGCTAGAGCTTTTCAGGTTCAGAACCAGTTCTTCGGTTTAGCTCCGGCTCTTTTCACACCGCCCAGAGTCCGACTGGTGCTGCGTCATTGCGTCATCGTTTGCGTCATGACGTAACCGTTTGCGTGCCTGCTTCATAAAGCCAAACCGCGCAGAAACCCCTCGCAGCTCATACCGACAACAACAACCGACCACTGCTGCTTGTTAAGTTTCTCCATCGTTGTGTACAAACTGGATAAAACGAGGGCTTTTTGTTGTTGTTCAGGAGTTTATCCCGCCCCTGCCCCTGCCCCCGCCTCGACGTAAGCGTGAGTTATGCGGTGCTTTTGCTCTAGCCGTACAATTTTTTTGGTGCTTGAAACGAACCGGATTCCGGAGCTAAGAGGCTGCTCCCGCTGCGGTGTGAACAGGAAAACCCGGTGCTTTTCAAGCTCCAGCTCCGAACCAGCCCTGAAACACCGTTGGTGTGAATGAGGTATATGTTATCCAAATCCTCTCCAAAATTGAAGGGGTACTCAATGGCCTATTCCATACCCTTCCTCCAAGTTTCAGGTATATTAGACCAGTAATTTTTAAATGATAATGCTGACAAACAATTCAGTCAGAAGACATATCCTCCGATGCAACTAGCTGAGATTGTGATTTTGCTGGTTAACAGCATTGTGAATAAAAGTGGGTTTTCCCCTATTTTATGAACATACCACTATACTAGTGTTGTAAAGAAGCCAACGATATCATATGGTTAATTGAGAAGTTAATTAGTTGGCACCACAAACCATAGTGATTAGTGAGCTAGCTTACAACAATGGTTTGTGATCAGCGTTTCTGCCAGGCTGGCGTCTTGCCGTCATTTGACCAAAAAAAAAAAAATTCGAGAGAAGATCGAGAGTTTTTATCGCTTGAAATGACGAAAAGGACATCCCTCTGTTGGAGGGGCAAAGGAGTCTGGTGGGATTATTTTCGCTGCCAGCAAAGCGTGTTCAGTGAGGGAACAAAGTGTACTGCCGGTGCAGTGTTCATTTTGGCAGCTATTTTTGAGTTAGTCTTAGTCTTAGTCTTTAGACGAAAATGGTTATTAGTTTTAGTCACATTTTAGTCATTTCTATCCTTCATAGTTTTAGTCGACGAAAACTCAAAACGTTTTAGTCAATGAAAAATTACATTTTAGTCAACTTTTAGTCAAAATGTTTTCTCTCTTTAAACCAATTCAGTTAGGCAAATACAGGTATCTGAAATTGGAATCAAGGTGACAGCATCAAGTGTTGAAATTTGTAAAGCAACATTTCACTCTCATAACACTTTACTTAGTTAGTTGGATATCTCTAGCCTAGACTCCCACATTGATGCAATACTGCTGTGTTGTCCTTGCTGATCCTCTAAGGTAAGGATAGTGCATACACATAGATACAAGTGGTACTGGTAACATAGTGAAATGTTCTTTACTCCAAGTCAAGAACCAAAACATTATTTTTAGCCTTATATTTATTTTCCGAAACCTCAAATAAAAGTGAAGACACGTATGCCCAAAACAGAGCAATAAATGATGAACAATGACATGACACCTGAAGTTTTGGATCACGAAAATTACAGACTTGAGTTAGCTCAGTGACTCAAACCTTAGTCCATTGTAGACTCTACATTTATCAATAGTGTGTCAGTAACTTGTCAACAGAGGGTCATCACTCACAAGATGCAGTGCAAAGCAGTAACTTGTATAAATTGTTGTATAAAACTATCCCTCACCTTAACATGTTTCTGTACCTACAAATAAAATAAAAATGTTGAAAGTGCATACATACCTATAGAATAAGATAAACGTGGCCTTATAAACAATCAGAGGGAACCACCTCTGTAGTGCACTCTCATATCAAGTAACAGACAAAGTACAGACATCCGTAGTAGCATTAACAACCTTTTAGCCTACTGATCTCTATTCAGTTTGAGGAAAGCACTTCTCTCTAAAATGATTCTTGCTCTATTTCGACGGCCACGAGTGAGGTCACCTGTGATACTAAAAACTCGCTCAGCAAATGCTTGAGATGCTGGCATTGCCAGAAGATCTAAGGCAAGAGGTTTTAGGCCCTGATAAACAGAACCCTGTGCAGCCCAAAACTCAAGAGCAGTCTCTTTGTTCATGGGCTGTGACAGCTGCTCCTTGAATTTCAGCATTTCCTGCCTGACACAGGGCTTTGAGAGGCTAGATCTAGATGGCCGGCTTGCACTTGCTTTTGACAGGAATCTAAATCTCGGCCGCTTTGTCTCTGGTACCTCTCTCCTTTCTTCTTCATCCTCATTGTCATCAGTCTCCTCCTCCCGTATTACTGGTGACACCATCTGAGCAATGTAATCTTCTGCTTTTCTCAGAAGCTCCTGAATTTGTACGTCGTCATGCTCATTTTCAATGAGTGCTTCGGGTGAGACTGTTGGGTCGAGGAACCATGCTACAGCAATGAGGGGTGAGAATTTTGTATCACTGGGATCAAGAAAGCAGCTGAAGCGTTGGCCCATGTTTTCCTTCATCCTCTGTGACAGGGAAGCTAGGTCCCTGTAGCAAGAACCCTGGGCCTCGGGGAACTCAGATACCCCTTTCACACCAAGGCTTTTCCCCTTCTAGCTCCGTGCTAGAGCTTTTCTGGTTCAGAACCGGTTCTTCGGTTTAGCGCCGGCTCTTTTCACACCGCTCAGAGCCCGACTGGTGCTGCCGCTGCTACGTCATGACGTCACAGTTTAAGTTGCTGAGTTTCTCCCCAACGGAGCTCACCTCACAACAACAACGGGCCGGGGACTGCATCGGGTCGATGATCGTGTTGCTTTTAATCATACGAAGCCAGATTAAATTAAATAACGACTTCTCCAACCTTATACTTTTCTCCAGAGTGCCGTGGTTCATTGTTTATTAATGTGTTTCAGCGGCATTACCGACCGCTGCAGTGCTGGCTGCTCTTCCACGGGAGTTTATTCTCCCGTTAGCTCCGGGTTAGCTCACACGGCTCTAAAGTATTCACTGTCTGACTGTCACACAAGCAGCTGATACATATCCCCAGTTCCCCTTAAGTGAATGTGTGTCAGTCTGAATTGACACTGTTTGGCATCACAACGCTGTTATGAAAGTTTCTCTGGTATAACATGGGTGATGTTAGCATAGCAACCGAAGCTAAACTGACTACTTGCTAAGCCGTTTTCAACAGGCACTTTTTACCGGCGTATTTTTCATTATGATTCTACTTGTGATAGTCGGACATGACAACCTGTGCAGCCCATGTATTGATTCCATCCGATAGCTGCTATAATAACAAACAAAATGTCTGCCTGCTCTCCACAATGATCAATAACAGCGAACGGATGGTCAAAGTAAGGTACAAATAAACAGAATCACACGAAGCCTGGTTAGTGTTGCCTGACTTTATAAAGCGTGTTTTTTTTTTACAAGTGTGTGGTTGCCTTCTAGTCACTTTGCTCAGCACTACTGCTGGTTACAACTTTTATTTGCCGTACTCGCCTTAACTGTTAGCTCAGGTTAATCTCGCCCCCCTCCGACGTAAGCGTGACGTATGCGGT